ACTGAGCAAACAGGAAGATATTTTTTTGCCTTACACATTGCATAGTTTATTTTTTTCAGAAATGCTGCAAATAGAATAAGAACTCAATTCCTTGAGGTGCTGCAGGTACAATATATATGAATGAGGTGCCCCATGTTTCATTGGAGGAAGGATTACATAGTTCACTTTTACATAAATGGGTGCATTTGATTATCACTTTATGGGTTCTATCAGGTGACCTATTTTTTTCCTTTCATTTTTGAGGAAAATTGATTGTCATAGCCAACTCTATACTGAAGTTCTTGCATTGCCTGATATTGTCCATGTCAGTTATAAGGTAAGAGTTATATTGTGTACAGTGGCGGAGCCAGCTCAATCAGATTGCCCGGGCAACATATAAAGGCTCCTGGCCGACAGCCATTTGCCTATGGAAAAGCTTGATTGGTTCTTCATGCCTGCTATTATTTCAAGGAAATGACCACAGGCAGAGCTCGGGCAGCTGCCCCACTGATTGTGTAAATAGATCGGAGCTGTCATGAAGGTTCATAACACTGGATGTAAGCTCTTTGTGAAGGCTCGATAATATATGGAAACCACGCTAATTTTGCATCTACTGTATGATGTGAGCATACAATTGTTATTGACTGCCCTCGGAAGTTTTTTAGGCCTATGTCTGTTTTAATAAGCGTATTTATTTGTTTTTTGTTTCTGTATACTTTTGACACTAAAAGGGGTTATTACTCATGCATCCAACAAAGCTGAAATGGTTGCTTCTGCTAATTCATGATTAGTATATCAGAGACATAAGTCTCGAGTGGTGTTTTTTGTTGCAATGCCATGAGTATATAGTTACACTGGACTCCGAAGATGGATGGTTCTTTTTTCTTCTGAAAACACTTGTTATCGGCATGTTGCATTGGCAATATTACAGCACGTATGTCATGGTTATTAGTCAATGTGATTGGCTTTGAATGAAGTTATTGCACCAGTATTTCTTCCATGGTGAAGCCTTAAGGATGGAATTTTTGTTGCACCAGAAATATTACACCTTGCAGCTACATGAGAGTTTGAGAATTCTTATTAGAACAAGGTGTTGGAGCTATTCTGGACATTTTAGTGGCATATGATCAGTAGGAGTTACTTTAGGTATTGAATCTTATACTCCCTCCGTTCCTAAATATTTGTCTTTCTAGAGATTTCAACAAGTGATTACATGAGTGAATCTACGCTCCAAAATATGTCTACATACATCCGTATGTGATAATCCATTTGAAATGTCTAGAAAGACAAGTATTTAGGAACGGAGGGAGTATATGGGAAGGTTATGTTATTGACAATAGTTTCCATGTTATCGTTACATACTTAAAATAAGAATATATAATAGCCACATTGTAGCTTAGATAGTGAAACATGCCATTGATGAATTATGGTGATGATTCTCGGCGCAGCAAAGCGCGCGAATGATTCTAGTCATCTACTATATCTAAATAGCTAGTCTCCACTACTAGGAATTCTCTCGCTTCTCCTTAAGCCACATCACCTAAATTAATTTAGCCGTTGAATATACTTGATCAGACTACAATAGCCATTGGATCTACACATTAAGAGCCACTGACGCATGCATGAAGTGCAAGTAGTAATTGACTCCTAAAGAGTGTTTTACTTTAATCAATACACAAACTGATGCATGCACGCAACTCATACTCCCGTGCTCTATGAAAGGAAGTGACGCATGGATGCACATTTTGTTTTGTTTTCATCCAATTCTGCACTTATACATAAAGATGTACATTTATTTTATTAAAAATATTGATAAAAAAATTAAATACATGAGAAATCATAAAGACACTAGCTATGTTGATTCGTACATCACAAATTTTATTTCATACAAACTCTCGCAACAACGCGCGGGGCATTCATCTAGTAATAAGAATGGATAGTTCACAGTTAAATGAGCTTATTATTTTGAATGGGATCATCGGCATGGCCGGAAGTTACGATCACAAGACCATATGATACTTCCTCACGTAATCCGGTACGGAAAGCATTATGGAATTTAAAAACTCCAGCTAAGGTTAAGATCCACTGTTGGCGTGCTTTGTATGGCACAATCTCATGCTATGGTGTACTTGAAAATCGTCATATACAGAACTGAAGTGAATGCCCTATCTGCTTAATCGGTTGTGAAAACATTGACCATATTTTCTTTAAATGCCAAAGAGCAAAAGAAATCTGGTCTCACCTAGGGATGAATGGAATTGTTGATGAGGCTTCTCTTGTGGAGGTGGATGGGATTGGCCCCCCTTGAATGGCTACTGTTAGACACTAACAATGTGCCTATGATAGCAGGTATCTGGAGGTGTGATCTTGTGGCTGTAGCCTCTTGATACGCATGGTGGGAACGAAGAAGTTCACAAGAGGTGAGGCGCTGCAAGCGTCGGTCAGGTCAGTTCAAGCCATCTCGATGCTGGCTTTAAACTTTGCTCGAGTGAAAAAATTCAGAACTGCCAAAGTGATCACACATGACTAGACTAAACCAGCCGATGGATTTGTGGAATTAAATGTTGACACTGTTTTAATGAGGAAACAGGCATAGGCGAACAGGGGCAATTATTCGTGATTATACAGGAGCTCCAATTGGAAGTGTGTGCACTTCCGTGATGGTTTGATCATTGTAGGTAATGTAGGATGCAACAAACTCCTAGTCAAAAGTGATTAGATGGAAGTTGTGAAAGGCAATTCTATCATTGCAGGTAATGTAGGATGCAACAAACTCCTAGTCGAAAGTGATTAGATGCAAGTTGTGAAAGGCAATTCTCTAGGTGTGGCGTGGCGGCATCCATTTATGAAGAACGTACTTTTCTGTGCCGTAATTTTACACGTGTAATTTTCTCAGAGTAGAACCTTCAGTTTTCATTCGTGTCGTTTTAGTTGCTGATGTAATTGTGATTCCAGATCAATAAAAATCGTCGCGATGGCTTTCCTCGAAAAAAAGAGAATAACAGAAATGCAAAAAGAAAAGAAAGAGAGGTAAAAAATATAATGTGTAATGTAGCATGCAACAAACTCTTAGTCGAAAGTGATTAGATGGAAGTTGTGAAAGACAATTCTCTAGATGTGGCGTGGCGGCATCCATTTATGAAGAACGTACTTTTCTATGCCGTAATTTTCTATGCAACAAACTCCTAGTCGAAAGTGATTAGATGGAAGTTGTGAAAGGCAATTCTCTAGGTGTGGCGCAGCGGCATCCATTTATGAAGAACGTACTTTTCTATGCCGTAATTTTACATGTGTAATTTTCTTATAGTAGAATCTTCAGTTTTCATTCGTGCCGTTTTAGTTGCTAATGTAATTGTGATTCCAAATCAATAAAAATCGCCGCGATGGCTTTCCTCGAAAAAAAGAGAATAACAGAAATGCAAAAAGAAAAGAAAAAGAGGTAAAAATATAATGTGTAATGTAGGATGCAACAAACTCCTAGTCGAAAGTGATTAGATAGAAGTTGTTTCTCTAGGTGTGGCGTGGCGGCATTCATTTATGAAGAACATACTTTTCTATGCCGTAATTTTACACGTGTAATTTTATCAGAGCAGAACCTTCAGTTTTCGTTCGTGCCATTTTAGTTGCTGATGTAATTATGATTCCAGATCAATAAAAATCACCGCGATGGCTTTCCTCGAAAAAAAAAGAGAATAACAGAAATGCAAAAAGAAAAAAAAGAGAGGTAAAAAATATAATGTGTAATGTAGCATGCAACAAACTCTTAGTCGAAAGTGATTAGATGGAAGTTGTGAAAGACAATTCTCTAGGTGTGGCGTGGCGGCATCTATTTATGAAGAACGTACTTTTCTATGCCGTAATTTTCTATGCAATAAACTCCTAGTCGAAAGTGATTAGATGGAAGTTGTGAAAGGCAATTCTCTAGGTGTGGCGCAGCGACATCCATTTATGAAGAACGTACTTTTCTATGCCGTAATTTTACATGTGTAATTTTCTTATAGTAGAATCTTCAGTTTTCATTCGTGCCGTTTTAGTTGCTAATGTAATTATGATTCCAAATCAATAAAAATCGCCGCGATGGCTTTCCTCGAAAAAAAGAGAATAACAGAAATGCAAAAAGAAAAGAAAAAGAGGTAAAAATATAATGTGTAATGTAGGATGCAACAAACTCTTAGTCAAAAGTGATTAGAAATGCAAAAAGAAAAGAAAAAGAGGTAAAAATATAATGTGTAATGTAGGATGCAACAAACTCCTAGTCAAAAGTGATTAGATAGAAGTTGTGAAAGGCAATTCTCTAGGTGTGGCGTGGCGGCATTCATTTATGAAGAACATACTTTTCTATTCCGTAATTTTACACGTGTAATTTTATCAGATTACACGTGTAATTTTATCAGAGCAGAACCTTCAGTTTTCGTTCGTGCCATTTTAGTTGATGATGTAATTGTGATTCCAGATCAATAAAAATCGCCGCGATGGCTTTCCTCGAAAAGAAAAGAGAATAACAGAAATGCAAAAAGAAAAGAAAGAGAAGTAAAAATATAATGTGGCTGCTGGGATTCGAGCCCAGGTCTCCACGGCCACAACGTGGAATTCTCACCACTAAACTACAGCCACTTCGGTGGTAAGTTTCATAATAATACTTATATATCTCCATTTTACTTGGTTATCTTAATCAGGTGACAGTAGGTTGCCAAGTGATCGATTGATTCCGACTGCGTGTTTGCAAAGGCAAACCTCCACTCCCTGAGCCCTATATGAATCAACGCCAAACCTGAACATCCAGGTGATCAGATACTCAAGTATGGACAATATATATCACACTTCAACAACAAAGCGATGTAAATTAGGTCGAACACTGCTGCGATACGAAACAACGCATTACAGATGCAGACTGCAGAGCGAGCTTCTGCCAAGCAACACAACCATTAAAACTTGGCCTCCTCTGCAACCTACCTATCTAACCTCGCTACGTAGTCCACTGCGCTGCTGCTAGTCGAGCTAGTTGAGCGTCAACCTTAAAACTAGTCCCAGCTCCCGCTGAGCAGCGGCTTCACGTCGGCCACCTCGCCGAACATCTTCACCAGGTCTGAGCACCCCGCCCCGGCGCGGCCGCCCTCGCCGCCATCACCACCAGCGCCTCGCTCCGTCTCCTCCTCCGTCTCCGTCTGCAGCTCCAGGCCCAGCTCCTCCTCCACGTCGTCGGACGCCGAGATCAGCAGCAGCTCGCACCCCTCGTAGTTGAGCAGGTCCGGCGGGTCGGCCGGCGCGTAGCGGTTGCTCCCGAACCGCCCCTGCAGGTGCTCCGGGAACGCGGCCTTCCGCTTGCCCTGCAGCCCGCCGAACCCTCCGCCTCCGCCCCCGCCCCTGCCCCCGCCGCGCTGCTCGGGGTTCTTGATCTGCACCAGGAACGACGCCTCCGGCTCCACGTTCATGGCCTCCTGCGGCTCCCCGACGGCGCCCTCCTCGCCGCCGCGCGAGGGCAGCTCGAGCTTGTAGACGAGGTGGGTGTGCGGGCGGCCGCCGCGGCCCTCGTGCTTGAGGATGCGGTACACGCCCTCGCCCATCGCCCTCGCCGCGGACTGGCGCCGCTTGCCGCGCGTCGCCGTGTCGTACTCCGCCCCCTTGAGCGCGTCCTTGATGTCCTCGATGTCGGTCGTGACGAGGTCGACGTAGCCCCAGAAGGGCCGGCCGTGCTTCGCCGGGTCCGGCAGGCTCTTCTTCCCCATCACGATCAGCCGGAGCAGCGGCTTCTCCTCCACGTTCACCTCCTGCAAAAGAATCAGACAATGACTAGGATCCAGTGTTTGGGACAAACACTTGAAGAACCTCATTTCGTACCTCCTTCCCGTGGCCGCCTTCGTTGCCGCCGTCCGCCTGCCCCTTCTCATCGCCGCCGTGGCGGGTCTTCCTCTTCTTGCCCTCCTTGCCGGAGTCCGGCGCCTGCTTCTCCTCGACGGCGCGGTCGGGGACGGACTCCGGGCGCAGCACGACGTACATCCGCTGCACGTCGTCGGGGCCGTGCGCCTCCTCCTTGTCCACCTTGGGCCGGTAGAAGAAGAACACCTCGCCCTTCTCCTGCACGCAAAGCTTACATCAATCATCCACCATCGCCATTGTTACTGCACGGACTACTTCAGGTGTTAAAATCCGTCGACTGATTGACCTGGATCTCCACTTTGGGGTCCTCCCTGGTCTTCACCTCCGTGCCTTGACCCATGGCGCTCGCTCGCTCGCTCAGTTGCTCAACCGTCCACAGCTGCAGAGTGTGGATGAAGAAGATGCAGTGAAGTGTTCGTGTTGAGGTTGGTGCGGCCGGCGGATGCTCTCTTAAACTACGGCGGTGAGCTCGCTTACGCCGTTACACGTGCGCGGGTACGTGGCCGCCGGAAGCGTCTGGGTCCGACATGGTGTGGCGCGCAACGAGGTGGCCGGTCGACGTGTGGCGTGCAACGTGTCTCGCGGCAGAGCCGGCACGTGGGGTCACGAGAAGAGCACGGGCGACAGCGGATCTTCAGTTGCTGCCGTAATACTTCCTGCTGTTGTATGAGAGATTATTGAAAGGTTGCTTGCTGCCGTATTACTTACTGCTGTTGTGTGCGTACCAGAAATTTAGCCGTGTGTTGTTTTGTGTCGGGTGAAGAGCGGGAGGAACAATTTCTACATAAAAGAGAGAGGTGAGATGAACAACTCCATCATATCCTATCTCTCAAATCAAACACCAACTGTAACCATTCCATTCCTTTAAATCACCCTTACCAAACAGAAGAACGAACCTTACTCATTTCTAGTGGAATGACGCCATGACATTTTCATTCCACTTTGTCCGTGAACCAAACACACCCAGAAACAACAGATGAAATTCACTGCTTTTTTTTCTACAGATGAAATTCACTGCTTCAACATGGCCCTTTTGACAAAGCAAGCTTCGATGAGTAATTGACAACCCATAATTCTTGTGCGTATCTATATTCATAGCCAAAAAATAATAATCCTTGTGAAGATTTACCAAATGCAAAGAGAAAGGAAAGGTCATCTTATACTGGACATTGACAGAGCATCTTAGCAGGAGAAGAAACCGTGAAAGTGTGAAACATGGTCATGTATGGAAAGTTGGTGATGATAACATTACAAAAATATAAAATGATGCATGTGATATTTATATCTCCTTCAAGGATGGTTATTACCAGAAGAACAAACTAGCTATTAACATCCAATTTTAATCCAACAACTGGAGAGTGGGGCGAACAGTTGGTTGGTCAAACATTTTGGAGGTAGATGCACGTTGCATTCTTTCAATACCTCTATCGGTTCATGAGATGGATTATTTTATTGCATGAAATTTGACTAAAATGGGCACCGTCTCGGTACGGATAATACCATGCAAAATGGCTACGTCAATTTGGACATAAAATTGTGAGTGTGAATGGAGTTCGAGCTGCTAACTTGAACCCTTTATGGGATGAATTATGAAAGTTGCACTCTCTAGTGAAGGTGAAGATTTTTCCTCTGAATATCTTTACATGATATCTTGCCATGTCGCGCAACATTAGCTGATAGACATATCAAGGTGCAATTGTTGTGTCGTACGTTGCAAGACGGATTTAGACAATGTTGGTCTGCTCTGGGCTTCGAGGAGATTATTGAACATGCATGCATATTTGATCACTCGGGTGAGGCTACCCTAGAGTTTCTTCTTCGCCAGTCGCATTAGTGACCACAAGCGCTTGGACTGAGAAAACTTGATCATGTTACCGAAGTGTGCCGGTGGTACTTGTGGTGGGAGAGTGGGTATGGCAGTTAGAGCTTTGGTATCCAGCTATTATGTTTCTTACTCGTCGAGTGCCTCTGTCAGACACGATGGTTGGTCACCTCCTCCAAGGGGTTACGTCAAACTCAATGTTGGTGTGGGTTGCAGTCGCAACTATCTTGCAAGATCAGTTCAGAAGGTCATTACTGCGGCTAATAGCCTCATTCAATGGTTCTCCGACATCTTATCAACAGAAGTCATAACACTGAAGTTTGGCCTCAATCTTGCACAATCCTTGGGGTGTAAAGGGCTCCTGGTGAACTCAGATAATATGGACATCATTGAGGTGATGCAACAAGGGGGGGGGGGTTGCAGGAAGCAGAGCGGCTATTTTTTATTATTCTTATCACATGTTGAGAGATTTTTTGCACATATCTTTTGAGCACTCGCATAGATCAGCAAATACGATAGCACATGAACTTGCTTCCGTAGCAAAAAATTTCACCCTCTAGTGTTTTAATTGTTGATGCACGACCATCGATCATTCCCCTTATTGTAAAGGATGTAATATTGGTTTCAAATGAATAAAGAGGGGTTCCGATGTGAAAAAGGATATAAAATAATTTAATACTAAACTAAAAGGTCAATATTTCTAAAACAACAACCAAATAGATAAATCATATCTGGTAATTGGGATTTGTGAATCAGGAACTACTCTGGAAATATGGTGAAACTTTAATTCGCCCGTTCAAAACAAGAAATAAATGGAGCATAGGTATGCTATAAAAAGGAAACGGAAATTTAAGAAACAAAAAAAATAAAAAACATAAGTTTCTATGAGAACATGCCATTTTCATTTGTCTTTTTTATATAGCCACACAATCATAGTTCATATACACTTTAGGTCCAACCAACTTGTGTGATCCTCATCCTTATGACCACATGCTACCTAATACGAGTCTCCATGTCGGCTTTCCAGCACGCCTTGTCATCTCTTCCTTGGCAATGGAACTTTTTTTTGTTTGGCTGTGTTCCTTCTGAATCGTTCCTTGGGCTTTTTGTTCCAGTATACTTTGTTTTCGTACTTGTCTCCACACCATATCTGTGATGAATCTGCTTATTTATTTATGATATTTTCATGTTTATTTACACATGCATAAAAAACCAAAAAAAATAACTTCCGCATGATTTTCATTCATACTCCCCGTCACCGCATTACTCGGTCAAAATTGAGTCCAGGCTAGAATAGTCTTTCGATCAGAAAATGTTTCAGACAATTGTTTTCTAGGATGATGTTTGAGTTAGACAAATCTTCACTCATAACATCTCTAAGCCATCAAAAACAAATTAATTTCCAAAAAGGTGTCTCTTTAGGGTATTATAGCCATCCACCCATTCCCATACCATTTTGTTCAAAATACATTTTTTGACAAACCGAAGAACTCATCATGCGTTCCAATGAGGTCGGAGGTCTTGTTCCCTCCCAATCCTCAATTCCTGATATAAATATTTGGCAGATGAAATCTCCTTCCCCGACTGCCACCTCCAATGCCGCCAAAGTCACCACCGATGACATCTCTGACCTCGTCGACCACCCATGCCCAATCATGGCATACCCATGCATTCATGGTGCCATAGTTATTTATCTCGGCATCCCGAGCCTCCTTCTATTAAGGCCACCGAGCCGGAGCTTGTGCCCTTCGCTACCCCTTGTCGCCGCCACTCGCTGAGACTCCACCTGCACCCAGCGCACCTCCTCTGGTGTTTTGGTCATTTCCTACACCGCCACGGCCTCAAGTGTCAGCGAGGTCGAATATTCGGTCATGGCACCTCTATGTCTCTACTCGCCCCACCTCCGACCACTGAAGCTTCTATGGAGAGCTCACGCCTGCCGTGCTCTCCTGTCGACATCAGACGGAGCGTGTTCGATGAAATGGCCAATGGAAATTTTTCCTCTTTCTTCTTTTCCTTGTGTTCTATAGTAATGTGAAAATGTAGTTTTTTTTGTTTTATGTAAAATAAGGTAATTATAAAAAAGGTGGAACTCAGTTTTGAGGATGGGTTAGGTGCCACCCTCCCAATACCCATGATTTTTGGGGATGTGCTTTGGGGAACTAAATGTTTTGGATGGATCAAAGTTGTTCTTTGATTCCAGTTTAATCAATATATATATATATATATATATATATATATATATATATATATATATATATATATATATATATATATATATATATATATATATTGATCAACAAAATTTGACGGTTGACCAAGTCATAAGTGGTGGTTAGTGTGAGCTTACCTTTCATTTTTCGTTCATGTCAACGGAGTTAGAAGAATGGGAGGAGCTTCGCCAGGGTTTGCAAGAGGTGACGTTTTAGGGTGAGCGAGATGAGGCATGTTGGCCTTTTATTTCAGACGAGTTACATAGCTCAAAGCCATTGTACAAGATGATCATTTGAGGGGGCATGATTTGAGGATGATAGATTTGTGTACTTAGAGAATTTGAGGATCGGTTGACTAGAGATGTCCTTAGGCTATCCCTCACTCGATTTAATGGGTGGTGTCCGAAAGAAACTTTGGTCGAGATTTTCAATGTGTCTTGATGTTTTTATTCTAGTTGGGCTAGGGAAGTGAGGAGAAAAACTAACTAGGTTGGTTGGGTATTTTTGGAGCGCTTGCTCGGTCAATTTGGGCATTGAAAAATGATGTTGTTTTCTAGCATTATGTTTTCCCTCTTCTTTCCTAAAAAAAGTGTTCTGGCCCTTCTTCTGATACATGACATCTATAAAATGTAAAAACAAAAATGAATTTGTGCATCACTCACTGAAAAAGGGCATATCTTCCCATCACTTCCCTCTATTTGGGCTTTTAAGTAAACTACCCTAAGATGGTTTAGGGCTTCGAACGCGAAACATGTCTTAATATATTGGCAGGAGGAGTTGCTTTTTGGCTAGTGTCCAAATTTTTTTAGGGACTTAGATACTATTGCGGATCAATTGACTAGAGATGCCCTTAGTCTACCCCCTCGCACCATTTAATTGGTTGTGTTCGAAAGAAGCTCGGCTGGTCGAGATGTCCAACATGCTTTGATGTTTTCATCCTTGTTGGGTTAGGAAAACGAAGGGGGAGACCAACTATTGGGTGATCTATTTTTGAAATGCTAGTTTCATCAATTTGGGCATTTTTTATGTTGTTTTCTATCATAAAGTTTCGCCTCTTTTTTTTGTAAAAGGGATAATATCATTGATCAACCAGAGTTATGTTGGGGATCGTTGCAGAAATTAAAAAATTTCTACGCATCACCAAGATCAATCTATGGAGAGACTAGCAACGAGAGAGAGGGGAGTGCATCTTCATACCCTTGAAGATCGCGAAACGGAAGCGTTGCAAGAACGCGGTTGGTGGAGTCGTACACGTAGCGATTCAGATCACGGTCGATTCCGATCTGAGCGCCGAACAACGGCGCC